TTGTTGTCTCATTAAGCCATTTAGCCTAACCATTGAGGCGATGGTTGATCATGTATAATTTTGGTTTTTTAGACAGTTAGATACTTGTCCTTGAATCTCACATGTGCTACTTTGATTCAGGGGATTCACCAAGTTCAGCCGAACTGATTATCTGAGATACAAGTCAGAGAACCGTATTCTCCCAGATGGTGTGAATGCAAAGGTTTGTCTGTTCATATCCTTCTTTTTAAACTAATATTTTTGCTTTGCTATTCATGTATCTGGTCGCCAGTAGCGATTTGCACTTTTTGGTTGTGACAACGTATTATGTGATCTTTTGCTTTTGCAGCTTCTTGGCAACCATGGTCGACTTGCTGCACGTCAACCTGGAAGGGCCTTCCTTACATCTGCTTAGTGAATTGAAGTGGCATAATCTCACAAATAGCACATTTAGTTTTCTAGTCTGTTGAATGGAACTTTGTTGCTTGAATTTTTGTCTTTGCATGAACCTAATTAGTATCCAATTGAACATTTTTGAAATTATAATGTTCTGTATTTGAAATTTCTTGTACGGTTAAGAGCTCGTAAGTTTTGATGAATTGATACTTCTTGTGACAGGTGGTATTACATTCTTTAGTGCCGCCCCCTGCAACTAATTATTTCTGAGGCGCATAAATTGAAACAAGCCTGCTTGTGGTGAAGACGTATATTCCCATAAATCTAGTTGGTGCAATTAGTACGGAGAAGTACTGTTTATTATCAACTTGTATTTTTAGAAAAATAGTACTTCCTCTGTTCTTTTTTTTAAGCATTGTCATAATTTATTTTTTTGAGAATGGAAGAAAGTTTTTTTATGGGTAGAGTGCATCCGATTTAAACAGCAAAATGGGTAAGTTAATGACACTCTTCGAGTTTTGGCCAAGTTTGTCGTGCTCGTACTGTCTCTTGGCAACAGTGTGAACTTGTTGCCATTACAGATTAGACTCCGAGATTTTCACAAGATAACTTTTTCAGCGAAGTGGTACAGATAACAGAAGTCTACTATTTCCTTAAATCTATGATCTTGCTGATCAAATTAATATGCTCATATAGATGAATACACCTTAACAAATGGGTAAAGATAAGATCAGATTATCCAAATATTAGACGTGTATTTGGATCTTCCATAGGCACTGTGCAAGTTTGGGAATCATATTCTTGAATGAATAATTAATTATGCTATATTCACCATATTTTATTTCAGAGTGAACGCGACAATTGATGAAATAGCAAATAAATGGTGTGTATGATGAACTATTTTGCAGACTCCAATTCAGCACAAGATTCAGGATGCACAAAAGTTTCAACAGACCATAAAACAACTAGTTGCATTTAATTAACCATAAAAGTAAAATTCCTCAAAATGATGGTAGCAGTTCCAAAGCATGACTTATTTCCTATTCAAACAGAAATAGAAATAGCAGTCCTCCCCAGACAAGTGACAAACAGAACTTCATTTATACGTTGGTCACCGGACAAATGACGAACAGAACTTAGTATCTGTGTTCTAACTTCTCCTTCTCCAGGAAATGCTGCACGTACCTGCATGCATAAAGAAATACATTGGCTATGAATGAAGCAACCACTAGAACCACATACATATATTTGTTGGAGATTCTCAACCAATAACATAGGAATTTCTAGAACCTAACTTAGCAAAGAATTGCTCCAGGTGACAATAAGTCAAAAGAAAATCCTTACATCTTGGTTATCTATTATTATAAGGGGAAAAGAGGGGAGGGATAACTGACTCAGAAAGCTCAAGCCAACAGAAGATGAAAACAATGACCATAATCTTGCCAATAACCTTCAACAGTCTAGTCTACACAAGTAAATTTCCTCTACGCCTGAATGCAGCTCATACTTGAGAAAAATTACAACTCAAAATAACTAAGACTTTTGCAGCAATCACTTTTTTACTTGCTTGGAGACAAAAATGAACAGCAAAAAGAAAATAGAGGAGAAAGAAGTTAATCGGATTTATTTTGACCATATCAGAAAAATGAGAAAAAACAAGAACACTTAAGTTAAGATTCCGTTAAAGAATATGTTCTTGAACAAGTTATTAATATACACAATATGTGAAAGTACATGATAATCTAACTAGTGCTAAAATATGTCTCAAATTATATATCCTAGAAAATCAAACTACATCTAGTTACTAGTGGTGAAATAATTTTATATCGACACATTTTACATATCGAAAAGGATTATATAGCTGCATATCAACTTTTTTCCAACAAAAATATAAACTGAGATCAATTTGAGGTTTAAGCTCGCATGCTTTACCAAGAAAACTTTTTCTACTCAAAAGAACTAACATACACCATGTCCTTTCCAACCCCAACCCTCAAAGAAACAGGAATTAAATAAGAATCCACACCACATGAACAATACAAAACAAAGGAAGATCTTTTATTGACCTTGCTATTCCGATCAGTAAGCAGGCTTGAAAGAAAGACCGCCAGCTTCATACTTATAGAAGCCAATGTCTTCAACAATTTCAATTGGCATTGTGTAATTGTATTTCATCAAAACAAATGAAGGAAGATTCACAATGTGTGAAGGCTTCACGTATCTCATGGGTCGTCTTAGTAGGTACCTCCAAAAGCTCTGATATGCCAAACATAAATGTTTGGTATTCATGCTCGTAACATATTCTAACAGCTCTCCACTCCCATATGTTATATTCCAACAAAAGCCTGACCAACTAAGTTCCCCTTCTAAGCTGGCTATAAATTTCGGTCCTTTTATTGTAAGCATATCCAAAAACAAGTATGAAATGGACCCGTCAATTTGAGCCGTCTCAAAGCACACACAGCTTCAAATTCAGAGGTATGACATAGGTCAATGAAAACGTCCTAATAGTCATAACTGTGAGGTATCCTTTGATACAAAATTAACAGGAGTGTGCTTCATCTAGGCGCTCACTAAATTGGAATACATAATTTTGAATTGATTCATAGTTAATTAATTGATTGATTTGGTAAGAATCGAATAAGCTGTCATATATTGGATATATAAGCAACTTCATTCTATTCCAATTAAAAACAACGAAATTATACGGGAGAGCTTAAATCTATGCAATCAAAAGTGGAACCAATTTGTTAACAAGTACTTTGGATGCGGGAATCAGAGCCTGAGAGAAGAACTGTGAAAACGACGAAGCAAAGAAGACAGAAATGACAAATATTTACAGGTACAATATCACGAAATGCTTCCAAGTATAGATGATTAATTAACACAGCCGATCTCAACAAAGTTAGGGATTGAGATTGAATTTACTTGATGGAACTACTTACGAGTATGTGCCAATGAGAGGACCGAGCAAGAGAGTAGCGCTGATCCAATTTTCAGAGACTTTGTGATGGATTTTACCAGGAAGGTCCTTCCATAGACCTGGCATAATCTTCTGTTGGAATGGCGATAAAGCGTAAACAACTGCTTTCAGCTTAACTGGTTGTTTCCCCATCTTAGCTGAAACTTAACGGTGATTTCTCCGATCGATGAACAAGCTAGGGTTCGAGATAGAGAAGAATGATAATTGACATTTGGTGGATGGAGGAGGAAGCTTCTCCTTCCGGTGAATTCGTTTGGGCCTAAGAACTGTAGCCCATTTGGGCCGATAAAATTAGCCACATGAAGGGCCCGCTTGGCTTTAGACGAACTAGTACTACGCTTCAAGGTGTGTTATAATACACATACTTTTAGAATAAATAAAAATTAGAAATATATTTTTACAATGTACCATATTTAATATTTATTTTTGTATTTTATAGTTTTATTATATTTTGTATTCATAAAGTTAGAAGTATATATTAAATTTTGATACTGTTTTAGTCAGTATGTATTTTTATAATTAATAGTTGTATTCATTTAAAAATTATGTTGCATTGTTTTTGAATTTTTTGACATTTTTTCTAATTTGTATTTATTCTAAAGGTATGTGAACTAGTTATACATTTTATTTAAGAATGAGTACACCAAATATTCAATTATTTCTTTTCAATTTTATATTTCACACTTTTTCATCATACTAATTTTTTGTATTTTATATATTATTATACAAAATTCTAAATAAAAACTAGAATAAATACATATTGAAATGAATACATACAAGATTTTTAAAGAAAAAAAATAACTATATAGGGAAAAAAATATATGAATACAAATATATTTTTTAAATTACTATATAAATACATTCGGCATATCTATTGGAATGAATACAAACTAATAAAAAACTATAATAAATATAAATAGAATATATTGTAGAATGAACATAATTTTAAAAAGATAAAAATTATGGAGAAAATTAAGTGATTCTTACTTCTTCTTTTTTAAAATATTCTCTCCCTTGATTTTCTCCCTTTTATTATTAAATAATTATATATTCTTTAAATAAAAACAAATAATAAAAACATAAATAAGATACATAACAAACTAAAATTTGACATTCTTACTAAATATTGAAAGTGTTGCTAATAAGCCCTCTTAAATGTTAAAATATTGATATTTTAAAATTTTTCCAATATAATAATTTAGATATGTATTGGTAATATTAGATTAGTTAATATATGAAATTCGTAAAAGTATGACACTTTTGGATGGTTTTTTTCCACTAAAAAATGAAAGAATTAATTTTACAGGCCAGTTACAAATAATAATTAAAAAATATTTATTTCTTTTATGTAAAGATTATTTTTTAAAATTGTATTCAGAGTGACGAAGAAATCTTTATTTTTTAGGAATAAGAATCCGAAGTGTATTAGAATCTGCGTGAAAAAAATATACACCATACTTAGTTACGTCAAATTTAGGTTGTTTTTACGTTATCTGCCATATATATATATATATATATATATATATTATTAACGTACTCTTTTTATGGTAAACTATAATACTATATTAACATACTCTTAAGCCTTCTTCTGACGATAAACCCTAAACAATTCTAACGTTACGTCTTTGTTTAAGCTTGAATCATGAAGCGTTTAATCATATATGGATTTTTCTTCGCTTGCATTGTTGGATTTTTGATGAACAATAAGCCTGAACCTGAAATTCCTCAATTTGGACTTAATGATGGCGTTGAACAGGTCAAAATTGGTGTTGTAGCAGTTTTTGACGGGCATATCGGATCGGAGGCTAGTGAGACGGCGTCTAGGTTTTTTTTAAAATAAGTTTCTCCAGAAGAACTAGGGTACCAAAATTCTAACCCTAAGGAATTTCTGAAATCGTCGTTAGTTGAAACGATTGAAGAAATTGATGCAGAATTCAGCAAACTCGCTCTGGAATCCCAACTTGATTCCGGATCTACTGCAAAAACAGGTATTAGTCGCAAATGTTGGGGATTCGAAGGCGTTTATTTGCTCTGGGAAATTGGCGAAGGAATTGACAGAAGATCATAATGCAGACAGATTGGACGAGAGAGCTAGGGTTGAAGCTTCTGGAGGTAAATTCACATTTTACACCAACTATGTTCCTCTTCTCAATGGCCATTTTCCGATGACTCGAGCTATTGGTGATGTTACTTTGAAAAGTGTTGGAATCATAGCTACTCCAGAAGTGACTGATTGGCTTAATTTAACATCAAAAGATGAGTTTTTGGTTGTGGCATCTGATGGAATATTTGAAAGCTTAAGTACCAAAAAGTTTGTGAGTTTTTATATGAAGCAGAGGACCATTCAGATTTAACAGCATTGTCTCAACAAATTGTTCAAAAAGCATTTTTAGAAGGCAGCACTGATAATTTATCAATTGTTTTGGTTCCCTTATGATCTAGATAAGCAAAAATTGTAGTAGTCTGAGGCTTTGGGGCCTACCCCAGACTGATGAGCTCTGTAGGTGTAAATTTTTAATTTAATGGTTAATTTTCTCATTTTAGTCTTCTCTAATCTTATTTTGAGCATTATCTTCTAACTCTATTTGCTTATTGGTTTGATTTCTACTTATAATTTTTGTAAGGTTTTGATTGAACTTTAAAGTAATAACAAGATGAGTGAAGGAAAAGTGTAGTCTAGCATTGGTACAGTGTGATATTTTCTCTAAGCTTTTGATTGAACTTTTAAGTATTGGCAAGATGATCGAAGGAAAAGTGTAGTTAGCAACCACCTAAGTATGAGCAACAATCAACTCGATCTATATTAATTAGAGAGAGAGAGAAAGGACAAACAACTAGCTAGCATTGGTTGGTATTATCTTTTTTTTTATAAGTTTCTGATTGAACTTGAAAGCGTAACGGTAAGATGATCAAAGGAAAAATGTCGTCTAACAACAAAGAGATGAGTCACCATAAGCAAGGTTACCGACAACGGAAGAGTGATCGATGGTAAAGTGTCGTCTAGCAATAAAGAGATGAGGGACCACAAGTTAGCGACAAACAACTTTACCGAAAGTAATTAGAGTGAAGGAAACGCAATGAAGAGATGGGTGACAACAAGTTAGCGACAAAGAACTCGATCAAAAGTAATTTGAGTGAAGGAAACGCAATAAAGAGATGAGTGACAGCTAGTTAGCGACAAAAAACTAGATGGAAAGTAATTTGAGTGAAGGAAACGCAATAAAAAGATGAGTGACACCAAGTTAACGACAAAAAACTAGATGGAAAGTAATTTGAGTGAAGGAAACGCAATAAAAAGATGAGTGACAGCAAGTTAGCGACAAAGAACTCGACCGAAAGTAACAGAGTGAAGGAAACGCAATGAAGAGATGAGTGACAGCAAATTAGCGACAAAAAACTCGATTGAAAATAATTTGAGTGAAGGAAACGCAATAAAGAGATGAGTGACAGCAAGTTAGCGACAAAAAACTCGACCGAAAGTAATTAGAGTGAAGGAAACGCAATAAAGAGATGAGTGACAGCAAGTTAGCGACAAATAACTCGATCGAAAGTAATTTGAGTGAAGGAAACGCAATAAAGAGATGAGTGACAGCAAGTTAGCGACAAACAACTCGACTGAAAGTAATTAGAGTGAAGGAAACGCAATAAAGAGATGAGTGACACCAAGTTAGTGACAAACAACTCGACCGAAAATAATTAGAGCGAAGAAAAAACATTTTACTCGAATTAGATTAATTGAATTGAAGGAAACGACAAACAACTCGACCCACATTAATAGCGAAGAAAATGGAAAATATCGTCTAGCAATAAAGAGAGGCACGAACAACATTAATTAGAGTGAAAGAGATGACAAATAACTCGATCAACACTAATTAGAGCGGAGGAAACGACCAACAAGTCGATCGGCATTAACGGCCCGTTTGGCCATGCAATATGAAATTATATAGGATTATCATATGGTATTATAATATGGAATCATGTGATGAAATTAGAGTTTTGTTTGGACATGCGATATGAAATTTTTGTGTTGTATATTTTCTTATAAATAGAAGAATCACATAAGTTGTAAAACAATTAAAATAACCCTAATTGTTTATTCAATCTTAACCAATAAACAAAAATTCATGAAATCGCATAATAAATTATCACGAAGCTATTTGTTCCCTCACATAAGTAACTGTTTCATCAAACTTTAATTCAACAAAAGAAATTGAACATAAATTGTAGTAAACTAGTCTTTAATATAACCCCATATTACAAACTATCTCCTCACATTGAACATGCATTTTTCAATCATGTGACCGAGAAGACAAACCAACATTGTTATTTTGAGCCATTTGTTGGTCAAATTCATCCACAACTATATTTTTATGCTCATAGACCATAAATATTTCATCACTGCTCGCAAATTATCATGTAACAGTTTTCACTTATGTGTCAATATCATAATGGTTCATGCCTTGTTTCAATATTTTGAATCTATTTTTCCAAGATTCAAAAGTCCGTGAAATTGATTTAACAAAATATAGACTTGTGGATCAATTTTTATATTTAAAAAATCTCAAATGATATGAAATTTTCATACCATGATTTTCGGAGAATATGATATTCTATATCATGATATGGAATCAACATGAAATCACATGTCCAAACGCTAATTTCATATCATGATATGATATAGCATGACCAAACGCCTACTAAGTATAGCGAGGAAAATGTCATCTAGCAATAAGGAGAAGCTCGATCGATATTATTTAGAGCGAAGAGAAAGTGTCATCTAGCGATAAAGAGATGTGTGACAGCCCGAGCCCCAACTCCGGTTACCTTTGTAGATCTCCACTACTTGCTTTTGCGCTATTGTTACTTCTCACGTTCCTTCTCTTACACAATTCAACTCAAGAGTTGAGTTTATCCAGTAGACAAGTATCTTGTGAAATTTATCAAGGTGTACGCAAACAAACCAAACACACAATCACCACAAAAAAAAAAAGAAAAAAAAAAGAAAAAGAACAGCCCCGGAGCAATCATGGAGTGGACGATAGCTCCAGCAGTTGTAGAGATAACATGGTCTTAAATCCATATCATGGGATTTACATATAGCAATCTATATTTAACGAAGGATGAAGTAAATTATAAGTTACAAATCCCAAAAAGGAAAGGAAATCACCCTTGTTAACTTAGCTGTCAAGAACAAATAAATCAAATTAATCATTCTACTTCAACAACAAACAACTACAGTCAACAAAATCAGTTTTGAGGTTTTCTTTGATCTGCTATGTTTCCTTTGTCACATACTATTTTCACAACGTGAAGTCCACAAAAGCGCGCTGTATTTAGGTGCAGATTAGCATCCTCCTGTCTGGAGATGCGAAGCAGCTGTGCATACCATAGCACTCATCACCAACCAGTTTTTGCGCGTTTCATCCCGCTTGAACTAAAAGGAGATAGACTACCCCTTGGTTGGGGGCTCTCTTCTCTAAAATTGTTGTTCAGCAAAGCAAGCTCTCTAAGCTGTTGCCTTTTATATAAGTCCTGCGACTCATCCTGCAATTCAAGGCAAATGAACATGAAATTAGCAATATGATCCTAGGAAATCACAAAACTATAAAATAATTATCTTCTAACACTAATTTCTTACCTACCTTTCAAACTACTTATATTCACAACTCTCTTGGTAAATCACCAGGTCAAGTCAAACTAAGATAATCAGTCTAACGTTGAGGGATCTTTACATTAGACCTCTCGCCTATGGGGATTTAGTTCTAAGAGTTATTAGTCACCATCTTAGGTATGAAACAAAAAGAAGTATGAAACTAAAAAACAGATCATAAGAGATGTCTTTTTTTTTTCTTCATATCAGATGTTTGCATATGTCAACTCTTTTAGTCCGTCCATTTCAATTTATGATTAAGAACTACACAAGTACAACATTATGAGTGCTTTGTGTGCAATTGCTTACAGTTGTATATGTCGGAATCAAAATGTGCTTACCACAGGTCTGAGCAACTCTTCAATAATTTGGCTAGCTTGTTTCATTCGTACATCCACTATATTGATGGGTAAGTCTGCCTCAAGTAGAACATGCAGTGGCTCATTGAGGTGCTCATAACCTGGAAGACCTCTCAGACTCTCCTCCTACAATAATATAAGACAAACACAAGCATAAGAAATATAAGATGAACACAAGTAAAAGCAAAACACCCAGTGGAGCGCAGATATAAAATGGAGGACAGAAATGTACGGAGTGCATCATAGAAAAAGCAAAGCCTTTTACAAGAATATTGGACGAAAAGCAGGACAGTTAGCAGAAAAATGTCAAAAGAACTTACTTTTTCAGCATCTTTTATTGAACCCTTTCCTCTGATAAATACCCGACATCCAGTAGATGCTTCCACTCGCTTCAGAGAATTACCTCGAGGACCTAAAAGCCGTCCAACAAAGTTGAACTGTGCCATATGAAATGTACGATTCAGTGCAACTGATTTCTACTGCTCAAATAATTTGATGAAATATCAAAATGTCTTCAAACACATCCCTCTACAGTCTACTCCCTTCTTTTGATTTAAGTGAGTCACTAATTATGAGGAGTTATCACATAATTTTTGGTACAAATTGGCACCTCTGGGAGTTGAAATGCAGAGTTTAATGCAACATGTACATCATCATTATATTTACACCAGATAATACAACCTGACACTTCAAAGGTAAATCCAACCTAGATCCATAAATAAATAGATGGGATCATTAAACATTATCTACTGTCAACAAAGTCAGCTTACATTCGGATATCTGTCCACAGGTATATCCAAGCGCAACACCCGCTTCACAACAAATGAACTTGGACTCCCTGGTGAAGCTTGCCAGTCGATGGGCCTTCCCTGTGGTCCACCTAATCTTTGCTGCAAAATGAATTTCAGGGATATCAATCCAACCAGAAAAGCATTAGGAGTACAATAAGCAATGCCGCATGACAGAAAGAAAGACCACGGGGAGGGTCTCAGTTAGCTCACATATCTTTCTGGAAAACCAAAGAACTTTTCTAGTCCTCAGCTTGAGTGAAGAATAAGATTAATAGAAAAAACAATTATTTAGTTCAACTTAGAAAGAGAGCATTTGCAATGTCAGTTTTTCTGGAGATGGATTTAAGCTGGCTGTATAACTTCTAGAATGCCGCCAAACCCCTGATATAGAAATAAACAGACAGGCTTCTTGATGGTATGAAGAGTTAGCATAGTTAAAGAAGAAAGGAAACAATGCATGATGTGTTTAAATTTCTAACTCAAGCAGAAAGAGGAACATCTAGCTGTTTTTCTCCGCGTTTCATCTTCTTCCTCCATTTAATGATTTTGCTTCA